TGATGTGGTTCTTAAGATATGGGTACCATACAACTGCTGCATATTCCAACTTTGGTCTCACAAAGGTCGTGAATAATTTATTTAATACTTCTTCATTCATGTATTTAAAAGCAATTGTAAAGTTGGAAAGCATAGCATATGCTACTCGCACTGTTTTTTGTGATCCTCAGGTGAGTTTTTTTTATCCAAAATCACTTCCAGATCTCTCTTTATCAAAACTGTTTAACACTTTTTCACATTTGTAGATTGTATGGCCTATTTTCTCCTATACCACATTCTATAATGTGGCATTTATTCACATTAAATACCATCTGCCATGTATTGCTCCATACATTTGTATTGTCCAGGTCTTCACGAAGGGCATATGTGTGTAATTACCTAAGTGTAGTTACAGGATGAGAGCTATGCTCGTGGTGTCCCGTCTTCCCAGCACTCTTTGTCATATAACGCTTTGAAACTACTGACGGTCTTGGCTTCCACCACCTTCTCCCCTAACTTGTTCCAACCGTCTACCACTCTGTTTGCGAAAGTGAATTTTCTTATATTTCTTCGGCATTTGTGTTTAGCTAGTTTATATCTATGACCTCTTGTTCTTAAAGTGTGTGTGTGTGTATTTACTTAGTTGTATTCATTTTTTTTTTCCACAAACACACACACCCAGGAAGCAGCCTGTAGCAGCTGTCTAACTCCCAGGTACCTATTTACTGCTAGGTAACAGGGTCATCAGGGTGAAAGAAACTGCCCATTTATTTTCTGCCATCACAAGGGATACCACCTGGACCCTAGGATTACAAGTCCCAAGCACTGTCCATTCAGCCACAAGCCCCCCCTCCCCATGTGTGTGTATGTGTATGTGCATATATACAGTGGAACCTTGGTTGATGACCGTCCATCTTTATAAATTTTTTGAGTTACGATCCCAGTTTCTTGGTAAAATTTGACTCGGTTGGCGACTGTCACCTCACTTGGCGACGAGTTTGTTGAAACATGTATGGGTCGACTGAGCGTGTAGGCCTTGCACAAGCAAGGCGCACCTCATTTTAACATCAAGACGACCGCACTTGAATTGTTTGTAAAGAATTTCATTGTTTTTCTGCTTTTTTTGTTTTTGAACATAAAAGTAATTATAATACTGTATATCATGCCATGGGTCCCCAAGAAAGTCAGTGGTAGGGTTCAACCTAAGAAAACAAATGTGAGGATGACGATAGAAGAAAAACAAGAGATCATTCATAAACATGAAAATGGTATGCTGGTTGTTGAACTACCTAGGCAGTATAACAAATCCATGTCAACGATATGCACTGTAATTGTTAAGAAAAAGGACATTATGACTGCTAAAGTGGCAAAAGGTGTAACAATAATCACGAAACAAAGAACACAAACACTTGAGGATGTTGAAAAGTTATTATTAATATGGATAAACAACAAGCAGTTAGCAGGTGATAGCATTTCAGAGGCCATCATTTGTGATAAAGCAAGGCTATTGCATGAAAATCTTATAAAGAAAACCCTTGGAACAAGTGATGCAGATACAAAAGAGTTTAAGGCGAGTAGGGGATGATATGAGAAATTTAGAAAAAGAAGTAGCATTCATAGTGTTGTGAGGCATGGGGAGGCTGCCAGCTCAGAAAAACTGGTGGCTGAAAGATTTGTTGACAAATTTAAAGGTTTCGTAGATAGTGAGGGATACCTACCACAATAAGTGTTTGTGACGAGACAGGCAATCTTTTCCAGAATAGCCCTAAGAGGACATACATTACCCAGAAGGAGAAGTCGTTGCCCGGACACAAGCCTATGAAAGATAGGGTCACTCTTGTGCTGTGTGGTAATGTGAGTAGTAATTTGAAAATTAAACCCTTGCTTGTGCATCATTTCGAAAATCCAAGGGTTTTCAAAAAACATAATATGCAGATAAGCCAAATGTGTGTGATGTGGAGGGCTAATAGTAAGGCATGGGTGACAAGGAAATCTTTTACTGAGTGGGTGAATGAAGTGGTTTGTCCTTACATCAAAAAATATCTGCAGAACAGTTTGCCACTCCTGCTTCTCCTCAGGAGGAAGCAGAAGTGGCAGGTGAATTCGGCTTTGAGCATAGAATTGTTTAATAGTCCTTCGTTGATCCAGAGGGAAAATGTAAGACCTACATTAGTGGACAATGGCGGACAAATAGAAGCCGGAGTCGGACAACAATCACCTCACCCTACCCTTCACCGCTCTCTACAAATAAAGGGGTTAGGTGAACCGTAGAGTGAGGTGTCCCCACACTTATAAATGTCTAGATTTCTCCTTGTAAGTTCAGTATAGTTGTGTTAGTGCAACACAGTGTACTCCGGAAGATGTCACATTGCTGACAAAACGTCAAAACAGTAAAAATGGAAAAAATAAGTGATTTAGTTTTTCTTCACCCTCCAGATGGTAGAGGATATTTGCCCAGAATAGAAAATATCCAAAAGAAAATTAATAATAGTCACAATGCTGTTATGTTTAATGACATGGATATATATATATACTGTACTGTATATGCAACAACAATCACAAAAACATTGATCTAAGTATGCGGAAAAACCACATGTGAAAAATAGAGAATGCTAAATGCATTTTTGGCTCAATTCGCCTTCATCAGAGCAAAATAGAATAAAGAAGGAAACATGGTAGGTAGACTTTATTCCCGACCTGACCACCAAGAACAGCAGTCTCCGTGGTGTAGTGGTAAGACACTCGCCTGGCGTTCCGCGAGCGCTATGTCATGCGTTCGTATCCTGGCCGGGGAGGATTAACTGGGCGCAATTCCTTAACTGTAGCCTCTGTTTAACGCAACAGTAAAATGTGTACTTGGATGAAAAAATGATTCTTCGCGGCAGGGGATCGTATTCCAGGGACCTGCCCGAAACGCTACGCATACTAGTGGCTGTACAAGAATGTAACAACTCTTGTATATATCTCCAAAAAAATAAGAATAAAAGAAACTGTAGAAGGCCTATTGGGCCATACGAGTATAGGTAGGGGATGAAACCTATGGATAAAAGGTGGACGAAAAAGGAGCAGGAAAGGGGCAAATAAGGATAACTGAACAAAATAAAAGCAATGAATAATACAAGTGCCACTGGGTGGAAATAAATAAATAAAAAAATAAACACAGGTTAAATGCGTGCTATATTGAAGCTTATATGGCGATCTAATTTGTACATGCCAGGGCTTACATTAAGGCTGTTGTTACAGCATATCCATCCAGCGGCACTTATATATTATTCATTGCTATTGTTTTGTTCAGTTATCCTTATTTTTCCCTTCGCCTTTTTCGTCCCCCTTTTATCTGTAGGTTTCATCCCCTACCTTTACTCGTATGGGCCAATATGCCTTCTACAGTTTCCTTTATTCTTATGTTCTTGGTGGTCAGGTGACCTGCCTTGGCGGGTATAAAGTCTACCTACCACGTTTCCTTCTTCATTCTATTTTGCTCTGATGAAGGCGAATTGAGCCGAAAATGCATTTAGCATTCTCAATTTTCACTTTTTCACATTTTCACATGTGGGTTTTTCTGTGTGTGTGTGTGTGTATGTGTGTGTATGTGTATATATATATATATATATATATATATATATATATATATATATATATATATATATATATATATATATATATATATATATATATATGTCGTACCTAGTAGCCAGAACGCACTTCTCATCCTACTATGCAAGGCCCGATTTGCCTAATAAGCCAAGTTTTCATGAAATAATTGTTTTTCGACTACCTAACCTACCTAACCTAACCTAACCTACCTTTTTCGGCTACCTAACCTAACCTAACCTATAAAGATAGGTTAGGTTAGGTTAGGTAGGGTTGGTTAGGTTCGGTCATATATCTACGTTAATTTGAACTCCAATAAAAAAAATTGACTTCATACATAATGAAATGGGTAGCTTTATCATTTCATAAGAAAAAAAATAGAGAAAATATATTAATTCAGGAAAACTTGGCTTATTAGGCAAATCGGGCCATGCATAGTAAGCCAAAAACTGCGTTCTGGCTACTAGGTACGACATATATATATATATATATAATATAATTAATATAATATGAAACAGGTCTATGATGGCTGCCAGACAGAAGGATAATTAAAGAACACAGGTAACATAACAATAAGTCTATTCTCTGAACATTATGACAGAAGGAAAGAAGCAAGAGAACAACAACAGTATACAGTACCTAAACTGAGATGCTGCCGGCTGAGTGCTCAGGCAAGATGGTGGCAGAAATGATAATGTTAACAGAGTTGTGATGTCAAAACAATAATCTGCTTGAAAAATAGGCCTCCCAAGAGTAAACCTGAAGACAGAATGCATTGCTGCAGAAGAAGGGATGAGAAATGTTCTTCTGTTCCAGGGCCGAGTGATTTGAGAGCCCTGCTTGACGGTACACAGGTGCACTGACATTAATAATATCCAGGCTGGCTGTAATTGGTCTCCAGTAGATGCAATGCAAAAATAGGTCAAGAGCTGGAGAAGCTGAATGGTAATTTTACTTATTTGTAACGGCAGGCAAGTTGCTATACTGTATATGCACTACTAATGTAAAGCAGTGCTGAATAACTTTTGCTTTCAGTGATTGACAAATGGCCCTAATATAAAGATATTTACAAAATTAATATGACATTATTAATTAGTATTAATAATATATAATAATATTATTACTGTATATTAATATTATGACAGTACAGCACTATAAATTATTTTCATAAGTTTTTAAAAAAGTGGGGAAGAATATAATTGTGAGCCACTTCAAGAAGATTTAGATTGTGAAAATAGGATGGCAAATTAAATTTAATGTAATTAAATGACATATAATTAAAATAAGGGTATATATACTGGCTCTACTCAAAACACTTTATGGACTGAGACAAAGTTAGAGAAAACCGTCCTGTACCCATCAAGGCCACTAGTCATGTGGCCTCAAGTAAATTCAGGTAAGTATAATCATAAATACTGTGCTGAAAAGTGAGTTTACTGTGCATTTAAGTACAGTAAAGTATATGGATGGAGAAATGCAAAGAAAATTCATAACAATAAATAGTTGAGCTATACTGTTGTAGTATGGTGTTTGCACCCAAGGTACCATATCAACAAAATAGGGTCTCGGTAGTACAGATGGGTTTGTTCTCAACTCACAACTGGGAATCTTGTGTTCGAATTCCAGGCGGAAGAGAAATGGTTGGGCATGTTTCCTTTCGCCTAATGTCTGTTTGCCGAGGGGTAAATAGGTATCCAGGCGTTAGTCAACTGTTGTGGGACTGCATCCTGGGCAGGGTCAGAAGTTTGATCTTGGGGGGAAGGGGGACCTAGATATAAGCCCAACATATATATATATATTTTCACAGGCTGTCTGTCCCTGACAAAATTATTTAAAATATAAAATAATAAAAAACATGCCATCAATCAAATCACAGAAAGCCAGGAGATAAAAGGAGACATTATACCTACATAACCACATTACAAAGAAAAGACTTCTTTGAACCATCATTTGGCAAAGAAAGAAAAAGAGTAGAGAAAGACAGTACCATAATACTATATGTCAACAAATAGAGGTAGATGGGTAGAGCTGACGTTTTATCAAAAGGAGGCAGAGCCAAAAACCACTGGAAAATATTTATAATAAATAATAAAATAGGACACAATTGACATGTACCTCTACTCTGGTTGCCGTAAATAGGTGAAATATATACACACACACATGAATGCGTGCATCCACACAAACACCCAGACACACACACACATACACAGTTTATTGGCAGTTGAGAGGCTGGTCCAAAGAGTCAAATCTCAACCCCCACAAGCACAATTAGTCAAGTACAATTAGGTGAGTACATGTGCGGGCACAACTCTACACCCTGAAGTACAAACAGGCAAAACTAATGCCAACTATATTTTCAGTTCCCTGCAACAAACCATATTTTGGAATGATGACTCTGAACCATTTTATTTTAGATTTAAGGCAGTTCAACACGATCCTAATCAATTTAATTGATAAAAGATGCCTATACGTGTGTTAAAACCAAACTTGAATTTCCTTCACCAGGAGGAAAAGAAAGATAAAGATGCACTCAGCTCCTCGTAATGATCTTCACATCTCAGGGATGCTGTAATTTATTTGTAATGTAATTTATGCATAACTTAATTTATTCCTCAGATACCACAGTCAGACCTATAAAACATTATAACTCAGGGAATCTACAGAATGCCCCATAAGTCTTTGGAATAGCAAATACATTGTATGTGTATTTGTGTGTGTGTTTGCATGCATCTGAACATAGGTAAAAAATATGTAAATGCATCTGTGTATATACTGTACAGAAGTGTATGTACGTAAACATATTAAGCAGTTAAAATATAATAAATTAAAAAAAAAAAAAAAAAAACTTTTACAACATCTAACAGTGCCCGATATAACAATACTGCATTTTCAGAGGAGAAGTTACTGATTCAGTTGGCAGTAAATAAGAAACCATATATATATACCAATTCTTAGATGAAAATAATTAAATATTAATGGTAAACATGCATTGATCTTAAACTTCATTTTTGGCAAGATATTCACAATTGATTCTCCAACATACGATGCACTTTGAAAAGTCAATTTTTTCTCATTTACTAGAAAATACATAAGTTTTGTTTCTCATATTATTCAATATGAATTATATATCCTTAAATACTAATATACATTTCAAGAGTGTCAGGTATCAAATGCTAATCTTTGTAATGCACAGTTTCCTGGCTAGCAACAGCGCGTTGTCTTTCACAGAGAAGATTGCTTATCTTGTATCTTTTACCGTCACTATTGGCTCGAACAAGAATGTTTCTTGTAATAGCATTTTGTTCTTCACTATTGGCTCTGACAAGAACATTCTTTGTCACAGAATTCTGTTCTTCACTATTGGCCCTGACAAATATATTACTTGTAATTGTAGTTTGGTCTTCACTTCTAGCTCTAACAAGAAGGTTCCTCCTAACAATATTTTGTTCTTCACTCTTTGCTTTGACTAAGCAGTTCTTCTTAGAAAGAACTTTCCCTTCAAACCTTGGCAAACACATAAAATCTCTCCTCGTATTATTTTTCTCTTCCCCCGGCGAATCTTGTTTCCTGTCTCTGTCTCGCCTCCTTCGCCCGAGCTGGTTGAGGATGCGTCTAAGAAAAGCAGTGGGTCCACCCGGTGATCTGCTGACATCAAGCGAGTCAGCAGAGGGAGGCGAGGGTCACCAAGCATCTGTATATCGCACATCTACCTCCAGAAGGGAAGGCAGTGTTTCTTTTAACGTTTCAAAAGTTTCCACAGACAAGCTTGTACTATTAAGGTTTAATTTTCTTAGGCTCTTGATGGCTGTGAATAAAATAAAGTACATTTATGATACCTAATGTAACTAACAAATATGATCAACAACATATGGTTCTTCTGAACCAATTTTATAGAATATGAATGACTTGTATAAAGTAACAAGTTTGAGTAGATCCTGTATGTCTTTTAAACATTTAATGAATTAACAAGCACAACTGATAAGTATGATAATATACATTAATATTAATAAAATACAGTATTAAGAATAGCACAAGTCAAAATAAGAACATAAGATCACAATAACAATGGAACCAGTACTGCAAAGACTGTCCTATTATTGCAGTAAAATTTGAGGATAGTAAAATTTCCTTCAATTTTTTTCCATATTAAAATATTGCTTTTATGTTTTTAATTACAGTACTTCTTTAAACTGCCACCGAGGGATTAAGAGAGGCCAAAATTTATATGGCAAAATATGACATAACGGAGATATAAAATGATGTCTGATGATATTTGTCTGATGCAGATATAAACTGTATCAGACAAACCTGATGCAGTTTAGTATGAACAATTTTGAGATACTCTATTGATCATAAACCAATACTTGCCAATAATTTATTTGGCCAAGTAGCAAATATATTTTAGTGGCCACAGCTGGGACAGGAGGGACATAGTTCATAAAGAGTGCCCCATATTCTCCCTGGTGATATTTTCCAAATTTATTTTGAATTGAAAAATTGCTCTGCCTTTTATAGCTTCAGCTATAACGTTTGATCTTATTGTGTACTGTATTCTTCCGTGAAACAGTGGGAGCTTCAACGTGTCACTGCTTGTGCAAGTCACACGGGACCTCTTGAAGAAATGGTCTGAATTAACCTTCCATTACTAAAGCATTCACTTAAAATTTGAAGTGAAGCACACACACACACAGAAAAACTAGCTTCAGCCAAAATAATTTCTGAGCCTGCAATTTAAGTAGACTTGTCAGCACTTGATGCAGCTCAAGTTTTTTGATGCAGTGTGGTTTTAACAATATGGATCATGAAATTAATTCACTCAAGAAAGCAGAATTAATGTAGAATTTTATCACCACTTGGGCATTCTTCATAGCAAAACACACATCATTTTGACTATACAGTGTTCAAAATGCGAACCATTTTGTCCTTGCAAAGGGATATTTTAATACACCATGAACCTCCATTATCCAACATCATGTGCTGGAAGTCTTATAAAATTTCCTTAAATGTTTTTTAGTTTCATAAATTATAATAAAATCACAATAAACTACTGTAGTTTTAATTACTCTTACCTGCCAATGCTTACCTGACATTTAGAGAACTGAGCATAACATTTTTTGCCACTAACGCATAGCTAGTGGGTCCTCGGGAAAGAGGAATATACAGGTAATTGTAGCAGAATTTGCTTGTACAATTTAAGTTTAAGGTACTGGCCATGTCCTACTAAAATTGCCTTGATGATACAGTATTTCCAGGAAACTATTACCCGAGTTTTAAGAGCCACTTAGTGGCCTCGACGAGGAGTTTTGGCATTTATTGGCTTTCCAGCTGGTTAACAGGGTAGGCAGTTCCATGGGTTTATAACCCTGTGGGTGAAAAAGCATCTCCTGTTCTCAGTCCTACATTGTGGCTTGTTGAGCTTGAAACCGTTGCTCCTTGTTTGTTATATATATGACCTTTTGAAGAAATTTTCTGGATCAACATCCTCCAAATTGGTTAGTATTTTAAAAGTTTCAATGACATCTGCCCTGTCATGCCTGGTTTGCAGTGTTGTTAGCCTCGTGGCCCTCAACTGTTCCTGATATGTGAGTTGCCTTAGCTCTGGAATGACTTTTGTTGCCCATTGTTGCCCTTTCTCCAGAGCAGCTATGTCCTTCTGAAGATTAGGTCTCCATGCTTGGATACAGTAATCTAAATGGGGGGTGCACCAGAGATTTATACAAGGACAGACACTCCAAGTTTCCAAATGATCCAGAAGAGAGCATGCGGTTGACATCTGCATCAGTACTTCGACTGGGAAGTGTAAGCTTCCTGGGGCCGCCCTTCTGTTGCTGTGTAAAAATAAGAACCAAAAAAAAAAAAAAAAAAAAAAAAGATACAATAAGTTCATGCTTCTCATAAATGTACTGGCATTACAAGTCATTATAGTCTAGTATAGTACAGCACAGTACAATGCAGTAGAGTACAATACTTTTCAGTACAATGCAGTACAATACAAAAATTACTAGGCTTATCAGTATTTACTTAATGTCATTTTGCAAACATAACTTTGTATAATACATAAATATATCTGCATTGTTATATTTCTTCTGGCATTATAACAATGCAAAAAATATGTCTAACTGATATTTGGACTGAGATGATGCATTTGATTTACTCATCTGTACCCTATATACCCATAATTTTGTACTAAAATAGTACACAAAAATAAAAAATACTAAACTACAGTACTAGTACTAAAATAAAATATACTGTAATGTCCCCAACTCTACACTTAAATTATGATATCTGTGTGGCTCCTAAAACTTACCAAGCATCCCATGTGCTTCCAACACTCTCCCAGAACTATGTGTCTCCTCAAATATTCTCTGTGCCCATATGCTCTCCAACACTGATCCAGCATATTATTTGCTCCAGTGATTATACAACCCATTAGGCTGTGCAAGGCTCACCCAGTGACTCGTGTGCCCACAGTAGCATGTGTAGAACTTTTAGTGCAGCTACACTTCTCCATTTATATACTTGTCCAATTATAATTTTTTACATATATTATTGAAGGTTTTGCCCTTCCTTCCAGTGGTGTTTTAAACTGGTTCTGAACTCTGCCACCAGAAGACTACTGTACATGGCCCAATAACAATTATGACTTTCTTTACACGCACCACAATACATAGATGTTGAAAGTTTAAATTAAAGATGCAGTATTATGCAAAGGCATTCTGATATTGTACATCAAACCAAGAGAAATAAAAATATAAGTAGCACATTATTATAACAATTATTAGCGTTCCTTACTGAGGCTTCATTATTAAAAAAGGTTGGCTTAGAAGAACTTCAAAAGATATATACACATCTTGCAAATATTTGATTTTGAATATTGTAGCAAAAAATGTTTAAGGCTTTGTACATTAATGTTTACTGTACTGTATTGAAATATATTATCATGAGGCTACTTATAATTACTTTATTCAAACTAATGAACTTAGGAACATACCAATTCCCTGAGATGCATCTGGCGGTCACACAGTGCCTGATAGAGTCTTTTTCCTGTGGGTGTTGATTGCAATGTTGTCACCACCTGGAGGCTCTGGTCTGATCCTTCAATCAGTTTCCACTCCAACATTAGACAAAGTACCTACCAAGAAAGGAATTTTAAATAATAGTCACTAACTGAAGAAACACAATTATTACGAGTCCATAGAATTACACAAAGCCCCACAAAGCACCTTAGAATTAGTAGTAAATTATAACATTTGCTTACTGTAATGTTGATGCAGAACATGAAAAACATAATTTTACTGGGAAATAAGATTTTCTGTGGGGAGCCCCTTCGACTCCCTGGAGCTATCGGGCTAATATGCGATACATTAGACCAGGGCTTTAGTTAATGGAGTTCAGCCTACCGCAGACCACAAGCCAGAACCTGGCCCCCCTCAGAGAGGCACAGGAAGCAATGGTCTTGGAATCCCCCCCCCCCCAATGGTTGGGGGGTTTTCCTTATCTGCCATTGACTTCCCAGATTAGGCACCCAGAAAGGTAGACATAACAAAACAGACTCCACATGGTAAGAAAATTGCAACCGAAAACCAAACAGGGAGGCAGAACTCCCTCAATTCCCAAGGAAACAAGCAAACGTTACGCCACAATGCCGCACCGCTTGTCCGTGCATCCCTCCCCTCCCCGGGAGGGGAGGGGGAAGCCCCGGACCCCCCACGCCGGTTACCTAGCAACTCCTGTTCATTGGCTAAAGCGATCCAGGGAGGATGTCATCTCTGGCCTTGGTTTCCAAGCGGAGTTTACCTTTGTGGTGTCCTCTGCGGTATCGTTGTGTGTGGTGGCCAGGTATCCTCAAGCGTACTGGGGCTGCATGCACTTAGGGGCCTCCTTCCCTAAGAGCCCTGTGAGTACTACCATTGTGTGTTAGGATTGTCTTCTCTGGTGCATTTGGGAACCAATTCCATAGGGGTTTTTGCTGCTCAGCACTCACCCCACCCTTACCAATATCCGCGTTGCGCATGCTAGGTTTAGGTTCAGCAATGCGCTAGGTTGGTTTCCCACCCTGATGCCTCAAGGCTACCCCATTTTGGTTAGGCATTGTTCACCCTTCTCTCTCTCTTCTCCTTCCCCCGCACTTCCCCATCCCTTTCCCTGTTCTCCGGACCATCTGCAGGTTTTGGGGTCGGGACGGGGTTTAGTTGGCGATAAGACTCGGGTTGTTTCGAGGGCTGCCCCATTCGGGTTAGGGATGGAAGCATTCGAACCTGCTCTTCCTGCCAAGGCTTGGGTCCTACCAGCAATTCCTTCTTTGGTGCCTTTCTCCCTGGACTCTGCTTCTGGTGTGGAGGTATGGAGGATGCCTCTGCCCCGGGGCCTCTGTTGCAGGTTCTCAGGGCTGTGGGGGGGGAGCCCTCTAGCAGTTTTGGGCTGTTTGCCCCCTGCTTGGGCTTTGTGCCTTCTGGACGGGGGTGGGGGGTTTTGTCCCTACTCTCGTCTGCTTTAATTCCCACATACAATGGGGCCTTGACTTACGATGCTAATCCATTCTCAGAGACGGATTGAAAGGCGAAATATCGTAAGTCGAAGCGATTTTTCCCATAAGAAATAAAGGGATTTGAATTAACCTGTTCCCCACCCTCCAAAATATTAACATACAAATACATTTTATACTGAATACAATGTTTTTTTCTAACTACAATACAGTACCTAAGTTTATCTTAACTTTATGGAGGGCTCTTGATGGTGTATGGAAGATGGTGATGAGGGGGGAGGAGGAGAGTTGTTACTGTTTGGAAGGGGAGTCCCCCTTCCATTATCACATCAGGCAGTGATGTTTTCTCTGGGGTACTCTCTCTACTGCGTTTTGCCTGAATACCACTAGGACCTGGTTGTGGTTCAGTGCTTGTTTGTCTCACTACAAATTTGTCAAGAGACATTTGTTTTTCCCTTCATTTTAACATTTGTCTGTAATGATGCATCACTTTAGCACCCATAATGTCCTTTTTCTTAGCCAGTATGGTGGATATCATTGACTGAGATTTGTTGTACTGTACTACCTAGCCAGTCCAACAACCCGCACACCATCTTCATATTTACAAATGATCTCTTGTTTCTGCTCTATGGTCATCTTTACATGGGATCTCATATGTTGAGCCTTACCACTGACTTTCCTGGGACTCATGGCATGATATATAATAATTACTTTAATGTTCAAAATGCAAGAAATCACCACAAAAGCGAAATTTCTTATAGGCGCGATCGTCACTAAGCGGGCAGCTGTAGTAAACTGAGGCAGGTCGGCCGCGTGACCGGGAACCACGCGCACAGTCGACCCAAATGTGTACCAATAAATATCGTAAGTCGACAACACCATCGGATGTCAAGTTGCATTTTTCAATGAAATTTACATCGTAACTTGAAATTATCGTAAGTAGGGGCAATTGTAAGTCGACGTGCCACTAATTTGCTGGCGTGATTTTAGCTTTCTTGCGTTGGCCGCGTGTCCGTTTGTTTTGGTGGCTATTTTCTTCTACGGGTTGCTTCCCCACCTGGCCACCAGCGCGGCGCTGCGGTTTGTTTGTTTTCATGTGCCTGGGAGTGTGCGCTCACATTTTGGGGGCATTTTTCCCCCCTTCTGGAGTTTTTATCCTTCTATTGCCGTTTCTCTGTTTTGTTCTTTCTTCTAGGGTATTCTGCCCTTATTCTGTTTCTCTGGGAACACTTGGGTGTTAGTTTTTCTGTTTTGTGTTTTTTATCTGTGTTTGGGTCTGGGCCCTGGGTTTTGGACCCGGTGTCTCTGGCCATTTGCTCTGCTTGCTTCCACACCTTTTGTCCCTCGGTTTTCGGACCGTTTTTGGCTGTTTAACCGGGGGTTCAGTCTTGATGTGTTTTGCCCTTTCTTTCTGTGGTGCTTTTTCTGCTGGCAAATGTTGTGGTTTGGGCTCCTCCCGGGTTCATTTCCAGATTCCTTTTGGCTTTTCAGTTTAGTTCAAGAGGTTTTCTTACTCTCAGATCCCCTTTGGGGGTTATAGAGGCCCTTAATTACCTCCTGTGCACCCTGGACTTACTCTATGTACTGGCTCTCTATGTGGTTCATATATGGGGAGTGTCCAACGTCCTGGCAGACGTCCTGTCTCGGTTCATTCCCGTCTATGGAGTGGATGGTCAACACAGGCTCATTCAGTTGGCTCTGCTGGATGTATGGACTCCTGGAAGTGGACCTCTTCTCGTCAGCATGGTCTCGGCGTCTCCCGGTATATATGGCGCCTTTCCCTGACTGTGAAGCTTTCACAGTGGAAGCCTTTGGGCAGGACTGGTCGAGGCAGGGTTACCTTTATCTCTTCCTCCAGGTCCAGCTGTTGCTTTGGGTTCTGGCTCAGTTGGAGGCTTACCACAGGAGAGTAGTCCTAGTAGGCCTCTTAGAGGCCGGCCCAGCCTTGGTTGAGGCGCTGCTTGCTCAGTGTCCAAACCCAGGGCATTTTCCGTGGCTCCGCCTCCCGAGTAAGTCCCTCTTTTCCTTATCTTTGGTTTATGTAGATCCAGGGAGCCGAAGGGGCTTCCCATAGAAAACCAGTGTTGAGTGTAATGAAGTGCTATTTTCTGGGTGAGCCCCGGAGGCTCCCTAGCATCCTTCCTCTCTGCAGTCGGCGGTTTCAGCATTATTTTGATGCTTGTCCTCCGAACTGGACTTGCTAGGTAGCCGGCGCAGGGGGTCTGGGGCTTCCCCCTCCCCCTCCTCCTCCGAGGAGATGACTGCACGGACAAGTGGCATGGCGGCGTGGTGTGACATTTGCTTGTTGCCTTGGGAATTGAGGGAGTTCTGCCTCTCTGTTTGGTTTTCGGTTGCAATTTTCTTACCATGTGGGGTCTGTTATGTTATGCCTACCTTTCTGGGTGCCTAACCCCATTCGAAGGCAGATATGGAAAAACCCCAACCATGGGAGTTTTCCAGGGCCATTGCTCCCAGTACCTCTCTGAGGGGGCCAGGTTCTGGCTCATGGTCCCCGGTAGGCTGAACCTCATTGACTAAAGCCCTGGAAGTTTTATGTATCACATATTAGCCCAATAGCTCCAGGGAGCCGAAGTGGCTCACCCAGAAAATGGTGTTTCATTACATTCAACTGGGCTGCTTGATACCTACTTGATGGGGTTCTGGGAGTTCTTCTACTCCCCCAAGCCCGGCCCGAGGCCAGGCTTGACTTGTAAGTGTTTGGTCCACGATGCTGTTGCTTGCAGCGGCCCGCAGGCCCCATACCCACCATAGCCCAGTTGGTCTGGCACTCCTTGGAGGAAACTATCTAGTTTCCTCTTGAAGATGATTAATGAAATCAGCCCAAAATTGGTGGTGATGATGCCAAAGAAAGTTTATGATGTGAGTGCCACGTAGACTTCATTTGCCATCACCCACCACATATTCTGGTCTTATTGCATTATAAAATGAGCTTGTTTCCCAGTAAAATTATGTTTACATGTTCTACATTTATCATTAACATTATAGTAAAATGTTATATTTCTTCTTATTTACGTATTTTTAAAAGCTTTGGGTAATTCTGTGGATCGGTTATTACATCTGTTGGCACAGTACTACACTACAATTTTTTTTACTTTTTTTATATCAAAGTAATAATAAATACATATGTGCGCATGTGTTCATTTCAAAGCTGAATGCTGTGATGAAAGTGTATTGTGCCTAAATGAATGATTGCATCTTAACAAGTGCCAGGATAGATGCCCAGTCATTTAACTTCACTAGAAATGTGATCTTAGTTTGGTCTCCAGATGATTATAACTTCATTTTCCACACCTAGGCCACACACAACCTACCTAATTATGTTGAAAGGCATTAGAGAACTGCAGGCAATGAGTCACAATAACCTGGCTGAAGAATGTTGATCAAACCACACATTAGAAAGTGAAGGGACGACGATGTTTCGGTCCATCCTGGACCATTCTTGATTGACTTGAGAATGATCCAGGACGGACCGAAACGCCGTCGTCCCTTCACTTTCTAGTGCGTGGTCTGGTCAACATTAGAGAACTCTGACAAAGAAAGAGATCTAGTGGTTGTTCTGGATAATAGACTGTCACCAGTGGACCAGAGAACTCCATAGTACAGTCGAGTTCGTTTTCAACTCACAATTTGGAATTCCAGGGTCGAATCCCAGGCAAGACAAAAATGGTTGGGCATGTTTTCTATTGCCTAATGCTTCTGTTCACCTAACAGTATATAGGTACCCAAGAGTTAGCTTGTTGTGGGATTGCATCCTGGGAGGGTCAGTAATTTGACCTTAGTAGGTACCTTGATATAAGCCTAACATCAATACTGTACATATACTGGCTGCCTGTCCCCCAACCCAGTGAATTATTCATTTATTAATTATGAAAATTATTATTATAAATGACATTATGCAAGAAACATATGCTACACACTGCAACTTCAGAATTGCTTTTAAATAGTGTACATACATGGTGACATATTAAAGAAACTGTGGCTTTTGTGATGCCAAAATTGGAATATACAGTAGTTGTTTGGTGCCCATATCTCAAGAAGCACATCAAGCTTCATATCCCAAGAAGCACGTTTCTGCCCGAAACGCTTTGCGTAATAGTGGCTTTAGGCATTGTATGTACTAGCTCTATCTATAAAGCCAACAAACTTTGTAAATCTCTTTATGTATGTACCTTACCTAAATAAAGATTATTATTATTATTATTATCAATATACTGGAAAAGTTGCAAAGACATGTTACATAATGCCTTCTGGAACTGAAAAACAAGACCTATTAGGAGAGGCTAGAGGTGTTAAATACTGTATTCCAAAGCTAGAAGACAGAAGAAAAAGAGGCAGCATGATCACTACATACAAAATAGTAACAGGAATCTACAAAATTGGAATTCTTGAAACCTGCAACCTCAAGAATAAGAGGTCATAGATTCATGTTAGGGAAACAAAGATACATAAAAAAATATTGGAAAGTTCTATTTTGCAGATTGGTAACCCTTTAGAACAACTTAAGGGAGAAGGTGGTGGCTGGTAAAACTGTGAACTATGTGAAAGACACATCAAACACTTTATGTAGGGCATACGTAAATCTGTGTATCTATGTATTTACGTATGTAGGTTAGCTTAGCATTTTAAAAGCACCGAATCACCTTCTGTGGTTGAGTGTTCAATAAACCCTTGAACTATATGTTTAACATTTCTCTAACCCTGTCCATGGAGGACAGAAGAAAATGTATATATGTTGGTTAGCATTGTAAATGTGTGGCCACGTCTGTGGTAGAAAAAATAATAAAAAAAAAACAAAAAAAAAACAGTTTGAAGGCATCATATGACCACAAGCATTGGGATGATGAGACACCACGAGTGTCCCTCTCATCCTGTAACTACACTCAGGTAGTTACAAACTTCTTCTTAAATATTCTTTCTGGGAATATCTCTTTCTTCAGGAAGTGATCTCATCCAGCATTTTCGTCATACATTATCAATTTTTTTTTTTAAGTGTCACTGACTTTAGGAATGAACTTAAAAGTATTTTCACATTACACACATGTAAGTGCCAAAAGCATCCAAGTACTGTACTTACATCCTGAGCAGTGACATTTCCCCTGAGAGCCAACAACATACAGGCACCCAAAGACTTCACCAACATTCCTAGAAACTTCTTTCTCTTGCAGCAGCATGAAATTAGTGTCTGCAACTGAAATTAAGAGTTTTTTATTTTTAATGACTTATATAGAGTATTAATAATGTTGAGCATAGTGCTGAAAATAAGTGGCAAAAACTTACAAATTTGAAGTACAGAATATATTTGCAATATTAATGTTTCAGTTTATGTAATCAAAAGTAAATGGCCACTTGACTTTTTTGATATGGTGTAACGTACTTTTGAAATGCTAAGTACTGTACCATGACTTACAATTGAAGCCCAGGCAGAGCCCTCGTCAACACATGCTAAAGAGGAAGGACATAAGACACTTAGCCATCCCTCCTTGTCGTCCCGTGTCCCTAGCACCATTTGGTGGACTTCACATCGTGGATCAGTCCCTATTTGCTCAATGACTGGCAGGATTTGTCTGTCAGGTAAGAGAAACATTTTTTAATTAGTACTGTATTATCATTAATTCAATATCATTATTGCACATTCCACTTTCATGGGAAGAAGCAGCATAAACTCAAGAGAAAAAAACCAGCGTTGAATGTAATGAAACGCCATTTTCTGGGTGAGTCCCGGAGGCTCCCCGGAGCTATCCCAGGCTGATATGCTAATGTCAGACTTTGGCATCAGTCATGTGTATGGAGTTCTTAGGCCTACCGGGGACCACGGCCAGAACCGGGCCCCCTCAGAGAGGCAAGGGGAGCAATGGCCTATAGAAGCCCCCGTGTAGTTGGAAGCATTCTATGTCTGCCATCGACCGGAACAGGCACCCAGAAAGGTAAGCGCCCCAAAACAAACCCCTATTCTGGTTAAAATTGCTACCTAATACCGAACTAGTGGATAGAACTCCCCAACCGAAAACAAGCAAATTAGTGTGACGTCACACACTGCCGCGCCGCTGTCTGCGCAGCTCCCCCCTCCCCGGGAGGGGGAAGGGGGAGCCCCAGACCCCCCGCGCCGGCTACCCACACCTCAGTTCTTGAGGCTGGATGTCAAAAACGCGAAAAACCGCCGACCGGAGGGAGGGAGGGATGCCGGGGAGCCTCCGGGACTCACCCAGAAAATGGCGTTTCATTACATTCAACGCTGGTTTTCTGGGGGAGCCCCGTCGGCTCCCCGGAGCTAACTACCCACAGACAGAAAAAGAGGGACTTACCCGGGAGGCGGTCGTCGCTCACCCCTCAACTCGAAGCCGAGACAACTGGCTGCAACCGCCGACCCAAAGCAACACAGGCCCGACGAGGGCCAGGGACATTCACAAGGTACCGAGCAGCCAGGACCCTGTTCGACCGCCAAAATCCCCGCGCCCGAATATCAGACCAAGACATATTCCCAAAGACGGCAGCAAGAGCCGCGAACTTACGAACGTCATGGGCACGGGGATAGACCGCAGGCTGGCTAGACCTAATAACCCTGCGGACGACCTGAGAGACCCGAACCCGCGAACAGGGAAGAAGGGAAACCGGATCAACCCACAGCGCGTCCCCGGACACAGAAGCTGTGGCGCGCAAATAACGGCGTAGCGCCGCAACCGGACACAAAACATGATGCACCCCCGGCCTGACCAACCAAGCATCAACCACCCATGGACCCCTCCGGAACGCAGCAGTCTCATTCTTCGCCAGAAAAGAAGGAGACGGCTGCAAACGAACAAAACTATCACCACGACCAAAAGAGCAGAAACCCCTGCGCCGGAGGAGAGCATGAAGCTCCCCTACCCGACCCCAGAGGCCAAAGCCAACAAAAAAAGTGCCTTGGAAAAACAATCCTGGACCGAAGGGGCCACAACGAAACGAGGAGATGAAAGGAAAGCGAGCACTCTGTCCAAAGACCAGGACGGCTCAGGCGACGCATGAGCAGGCCGGAGGTGAAACAATGCACGAGACAGCTTGCGAAACGGCGCAGACGTAACATCGATACCGAAAGCAAGCTGAAGCGGCTCCGCCAGCGCCGCACGATACGAAGCGACAGTGTTAGGCATAAGATGACGGTCCTGAAACAACCACGAGAGGAAGGACAAGACCACCCGAACAGACAAGGAGCTAACACGACGAAGACGCAAAAAGAAACGGAAGGACCGCCAGGAAACTTCATACTGCCGCCGAGAAGAAGCCCTCAGGTGGGACACCAACAAGGAGAACAGTGGAAGGGCAAAAACAAACTGAATAAAATGACAGAACCCCCCACCAGGCAAAAACAAAAAGAAAAACAAAACCCCGCAAGAGGACAGCGAACCCCAAGGAACAGAGCCGGCCGCGATGTCGGGAATTACAAGCTGAGCAGCACCCTGCGCCCCTACCAGTGCAAACTGCCTCTTACCTGCCGGTAACAAGGGAGAACAGAACACCCAAGAGCCCAACAGGCGGCCGAAAAACCGAAAGGTAAAACGGACCAGCAGAGGCAGACCCCGAGGAGCCTGTGGAAGGTGGCCCCAAGCCCCAAGGGCAGTACTTACAGGGCACCTAGGGAAGGCAGCCCTAGGCGCATGCAGCCCGAGTACTGAAGATAACTCCTGGCTCTCGCACCCACAAAACTAACACCACACTCAAAGCACAGTGCAGTAGCGACACCGGAGCCAGAGCACACGACCACCGCCAATAGCATCAGCCTCAAGAACTGAGGTGTGGGTAGCCGGCGCGGGGGGTCTGGGGCTCCCCCTTCCCCCTCCCGGGGAGGGGGGAGCTGCGCAGACAGCGGCGCGGCAGTGTGTGACGTCACACTAATTTGCTTGTTTTCGGTTGGGGAGTTCTATCCACTAGTTCGGTATTAGGTAGCAATTTTAACCAGAATAGGGGTTTGTTTTGGGGCGCTTACCTTTCTGGGTGCCTGTTCCGGTCGATGGCAGACATAGAATGCTTCCAACTACACGGGGGCTTCTATAGGCCATTGCTCCCCTTGCCTCTCTGAGGGGGCCCGGTTCTGGCCGTGGTCCCCGGTAGGCCTAAGAACTCCATACACATGACTGATGCCAAAGTCTGACATTAGCATATCAGCCTGGGATAGCTCCGGGGAGCCGACGGGGCTCCCCCCAGAAAAGTAATCGGTATTGCCCCAAAAAGTTATAATGTAGATATTAAAAAAAAAGACAAGTAGCCTTCAGTATTGATGGCTACAAGATCAACACTTCACATATCGTATGACATGGTAGTTGTCTTCAAACTTTAAAGATGCTGAATAGAATATTAAATTAAGTTTCAATTATTATTACTTTAAAATTTCTAATCATATTAGATACATGATGTTAGAGCAACAATGAACCAACATTGGTAATGTTGATAAATCGTTCAATCTGTGATATTGACACTGATGCAATGTGACCAATTAATGTCACGTGCATGCTGTGCAACTACACAAAAATGTTTCATATTCAAGATTCTAAGTCATTGTGAAGAGCAGTACACTTTGCTTGTTATAGCCATTGAAGCCAGACAATTGATTAATTTGATGGGATAATTAAAAAGCTCAGAATGTATGGAGGATCCTTCACAAGTCGTATATAGGTTTATCCCTTCTGGCACTAGCAACTGTGGCTCTCAGGTGAATAAAGGTTAAACACATAGTGTATGAGACACAGACACAACCTTTTATATTCAAGAAGTTATTGTGTTTTTACAAATATTCATATATGTTATGAATATTATGGTACAATTGCTCTGTACCATATTGATAATACCGTACTGTGTTTCATGGAGTCACATGCATGTGTATCCAATTATATTTGCAGTGCAGTTTATGAATAAAATAACCTTTCTTAATTCTAAAACGGTTATTGTGCTGTATCATTAAAATGATAACAGTGAAATAATTAACTTCCACTAGAGAACCAACCTGATGAATTCCTCGTCGGCAAGAGCCACATCAGGGAAGGGGATGGGTTGCAAGAGCTGAGCAAGGCCAGGTCTCCAATCATCATACTCGCAGCTGAAATGAGCATAAGAGTTAAGTTTCAGCATGCATGTGGCTGAAGTAGGTTCAAAAGCACACAAAATACAGTTCTAGTTAACACAGGTACCAAAAACTGTGCTGCCATATATGGGTAACTAGAAACATATTCATGGGAGTGCAGGAATCTTTAATTTTTTAATTTATTTTGTATTTATTTATATATACAAGATGGTACATTGGGTTTGTGTTAGTACATAACACTGATGTTTTTACATTCCTGCAAAGGCACTAACACTCATAGCACTTCGGGTAATGATCTCGTCTGTTTCTTATTACAGTTGCAAGTAAGTAAATGCAGAAATCCTTTATTAAGAGAGGAGAGGAGAGGAGGTTCAGAATGCTGAATAATGAAAAATGAATATTGTGTGTACATGATCATTTATCAAGCAATATACGATGAAATAATAACAGTTTATTATGCAATAGTGTGCATACATACTCAAATAAGAAATAATGTTTAATACAGGACAGTACTATATACTATTCAAGATTGTTATAAACTACTTGCATTTTTCCACTAAATTTTGTCATTAATTTTCCATCAGCTCAGTATGGTTGCTTAAAATACATTACAAATGTTTAACTATAAGTATCATTAAGAGTTTAAGACAACTATTTATACAGCTGCATAAATTAGAATATAATACAAAGCCAAAAAATACACTGCATTTTGGTTTATTCAATTACTGTATATATTTAAATTGTTAATTTAAAATATAATTGAGCATAGCAGTTATCTGACTTGCATGGTAAGCCATCAGGAAAATGATAACAACAATATTCAAAGTGATCCTAAATGAAACAATTCGAAGATGTATCGAGCCTCTCAGTGCAAGTTACATTATGTGCAACCAAACAAATAGGAGAGAGTTTCGGAAGCTCTTCTACTTCCCGAGCCCGACCCTCGATATGGTGTATGCAACTAAACAAGATAGTGTATACAACTAAACAAAATATGGTGTATGCATCTAAACAAAATATGGTGTATGCAACTAAACAAAATATGGTGTATGCAACTAAACAAAATATGGTGTATGCAACTAAACAAGATAGAGTGTATACAACTAAACAAAATATGGTGTATACAACTAAACAAAATATGGTGTATGCAACTAAACAAAATATGGTGTATGCAACTAAACAAAATATGGTGTATGCATCTAAACAAAATATGGTGTATGCAACTAAACAAAATATGGTGTATGCAACTAAACAAAATATGGTGTATGCAACTAAACAAAATATGGTGTATGCAACTAAACAAAATATGGTGTATGCATCTAAACAAAATATGGTGTATGCAACTAAACAAAATATGGTGTATGCATCTAAACAAAATATGGTGTATGCAACTAAACAAAATATGGTGTATGCAACTAAACAAAATATGGTGTATGCAACTAAACAAAATATGGTGTATGCAACTAAACAAAATATGGTGTATGCATCTAAACAAAATATGGTGTATGCAACTAAACAAAATATGGTGTATGCAACTAAACAAAATATGGTGTATGCAACTAAACAAAATATGGTGTATGCAACTAAACAAAATATGGTGTATGCAACTAAACAAAATATGGTGTATGCATCTAAACAAAATATGGTGTATGCAACTAAACAAAATATGGTGTATGCAACTAAACAAAATATGGTGTATGCAACTAAACAAAATATGGTGTATGCAACTAAACAAAATATGGTGTATGCAACTAAACAAAATATGGTGTATGCATCTAAACAAAATATGGTGTATACAACTAAACAAAATATGGTGTATGCAACTAAACAAAATATGGTGTATGCAACTAAACAAAATATGGTGTATGCATCTAAACAAAATATGGTGTATGCATCTAAACAAAATATGGTGTATGCATCTAAACAAAATATGGTGTATGCAACTAAACAAAATATGGTGTATGCAACTAAACAAAATATGGTGTATGCATCTAAACAAAATATGGTGTATGCATCTAAACAAAATATGGTGTATGCATCTAAACAAAATATGGTGTATGCATCTAAACAAAATATGGTGTATGCAACTAAACAAAATATGGTGTATGCAACTAAACAAAATATGGTGTATGCATCTAAACAAAATATGGTGTATGCATCTAAACAAAATATGGTGTATGCATCTAAACAAAATATGGTGTATGCATCTAAACAAAATATGGTGTATGCATCTAAACAAAATATGGTGTATGCATCTAAACAAAATATGGTGTATGCATCTAAACAAAATATGGTGTATGCATCTAAACAAAATATGGTGTATGCATCTAAACAAAATATGGTGTATGCAACTAAACAAAATATGGTGTATGCAACTAAACAAAATATGGTGTATGCAACTAAACAAAATATGGTTCATGGAACTGAACAAAATATAGTTTATGCAACTAAACAAGATAGAGTGTATGCAACCAGATTTATTTATTTATTTATTTATTTATTTATTTATTTATATGCATGAAGGTACATTGGGGGTTAAGAGAGTACATAGTAATGACGATGATTTTACATTCTTGTAAAGCCACTAGCACTGATAGCATTTCGGGCAATAATTAATGTTGTTGGTACTGTATTGCTAAATACCATACCTAATCTGCTGCATCACTACTAGAGAAATTTCATTAGACTTACATTTTGTTAAGGACACTCAAGTAGCAGCTAAGGTTGGTGGCAGTTTCATCAGAGGTTTGACTGAGGGAATTGAGGCGTTCCTGGTCCTTCTGTTCGGCAACAAGCACGCAAACAGCTGCCGTGCAGACAGCCACCAGATTTGGTAAAACTCGTAGGTGAGGGCAAGTGCTAGTTTGTCCATGCATGCTGTGCACAAACTCGTGAACAACTCTCCGCCCATCATTCTGACTGTTCAGTGCCTGGATGTAGTCTTGCACAAAACGACGAACATAAGGGTACTTTCCAAAGTCCTGGAAAAAAAAAATTAATCTATATCTATAAAAGAGAATGTTTGTCCAAGGTTGGAGGTTGGTGATCTGAGGCTTGCTTTACCCAACTTTTCAAGATTGAAATTGAAATTGAAATAAGTTTATTGAGGTAAAATACACACAAAGGGATGAGGTAGCTCAAGCTATTCTCACCCCGTTCAGTACATCGTGTTAATACATACATAGACACACATCACAAACAATAAACATATTACCAAACATTCTGAGAGATAAACATATACATTTCCTCCTTCACAAGTAGCATGGTATCAGACGTACACACAAATACTTTTATGACCTAGGTATACAAGATGACACATGGTTGTCATATTGAAAAGTTAACAACCCTGTCAAACTCCAATTCTAAATCCCAGCGACTCCTATGAAATTTGAAATGAGTGTTTTATTTTCCTGAGAGTTTTTAAGTAGTGTTTTAGCTCTTCGAATGCCCAGTTATTAGACCATTCAGACCCGTTGGCATGAGATACCTGGAGCTTTGCAATTACTTTATTAAATCTCATGTTCTTGAAGATATTCTCATACTGCACCCAAAATTTCCCAGTGCAGGCTACTGAACATGTGGCCTTGTATGACTAACCATCCTGCAAGATAGGGACTTTTAGTATCACTGCTGCTTTATTTACTCTTGTGTGGAAATATCCTCATAATGCACCTGGAGTCTGTCAGTGCAGAATACCTATCACATGCCTCTGTATGACTAATCATCCTGTGTGATGGGGATTTTGTTAGCACCACGTTGCTAGCTTTCTGCAGCACTTTCTGACACACTGTACTCACCTTCTTATAGTCTAGGGCAGCTGCACAAATGCACATGTACCTAATGTATTAATAACAAAAAATACAACTGTCTTGCAACATACCCACAACTTTTTTTTAAACTACATTGCAGAATGTTGGTGATTACACTGTGTTTTCTGGGATTCCATGTTTGGAGAGAGAGAAAGAGGGCGGGGGATGGGAGGAAGGGATCTATCAGGAGAAAGCGCCATTAAGCCATTTACAACTATGGAACACTTGGAAGGGACAAGGATTTGCGATGGGACGAGGAAAAGGAATGAAGCCCAACCACTTTGACCGTCAGGGATTGAACACTGACCTGCATGAATCCAGGCCACCGCTCTACCGTCCATCCCAGATAGAAAGAGAGGAAAAGGAGTGGGAAGGAGAGAGGAAGAGGAAGGAGACTGGGAGAGTTTCCCAGCCTTATTTTCATCTTTATGTCGGTATTAAAAAGCAAGTTAGAAAATTGATGTGCTCAGGTATATTTGCACACCGGATTCCTGTTCAGGCATCCTTACCACGTTGTGTTTCAATATCCTTTTAATTATCGGGGTGAACATGTCTATGACGAGGCAGGAGCGAGGGTTGTCTGTACAGTGTTGGCTGAAGAACTGGCAGATCTCTGGAGAGGGCTGATTGTTCTCCAAGAGGGGCGCTAGCGTCACAATGATCTCCTCCGTCATCTGTCGACTCAGCCACTTCTCACCCTGCAAGCATAATGTAGTCTGAGCACATCTGTCTTCCTATTCTACCGTAAGAACACAACATTCATGAAACAAATTCTCAAGTATGCAGTGCTTGTGAGTCCAGCACATCATCAAGTATACGTAAAGAATATCTGAAGTATATGTAACGAATATATAAAGTATACATAAAAACAACAAAATTGTTACATGACTGAAATAAACATTACGTAACTAGAGAAAACATGCTGACAACATTCAAGATTTCCCGAGGCATTGACACAGACCGAGACAGACTGTGTATCATGACACAGACCGAGACAGACTGTGTATCATGACACAGACCGAGACAGACTGTGTATCATGACACAGACCGAGACAGACTGTGTATCATGACACAGACCGAGACAGACTGTGTATCATGACACAGACCGAGACAGACTGTGTATCATGACACAGACCGAGACAGACTGTGTATCATGACACAGACCGAGACAGACTGTGTATCATTGACACAGACCGAGACAGACTTTGTATCACTGACACAGACCGAGACAGACTGTGTATCATGACACAGACCGAGACAGACTGTGTATCACGAGAGGAGGAAAACGAAGGGACACATACAGTTGTAAACAGATAAAGACAACCGGAAATTAAAATGAGCCAGAAGATTATTTTTGTAATATATTTTTTTGTAGGTTGAGGAAATAAAGACTACTACAAATATTTGTATTACTCTCCTTCACACTATATAGAGGAGCATAACAGAGAGAGTTGGCCTTGCCTAAGGCCCTCAGTGTCTCGAGAGGGACCTGAGGGGCCAGATTCACGAAAGCACTTACGAACCTGTACATCTTTTCTCAATCTTTGGCGGCTTTGTTTCCAATTATTAAACGGTTAATGAGCTCCGAAGCACCAGGAGGCTGTTTATAACAATAACAACAGTTGATTGGCAAGTTTTCATGCTTGTAAACTGTTTACTAAATGTAACCAAAGCCGTTAAAGATTGAGGAAAGATGTACACGTTCGTAAGTGCTGGCGTAAGTGCTTTCGTGAATCTGACCCCTGCATTTTACCCGGACGTTCGTGTGACTGGAATATGAAAGTCCCAGAGTGGGTAGAGAATACTTATGGATCAAATGAATGAAATATATCAACCAGACAAATAATGAATGGGGAAATATTTAAAGTAAAACTAAAATGTAAGTAAGTTGTAACGAAGCTTTGACGGTGTCGATGAATATATCACAGGTAACACGTCACTAGGTGATGTATTCACCTACCTAGTTAAATTTCATTTTTTTAAATTTTGCCCCGAGGGGCGAGTTTATTGGCAGCGCCACTCATCTTGTGAGTGGACACACCGCCATAGCAGCGTGTACAACACTCCCCAATAGGAAGAAAACCCGCTGGGTTGTTCATACTGTCACTTGTACCAAGATACTTGTGCTTGTGGGGGTTGAGCTCTGCTCTTTCGGCCCGCCTCTCAACTGTCAATCAATCAACTGTTACTAACTACTATGCCGTTGTCGGCGACAGGAAGTGTGTAGTCTTACAGAGGCCAGGCCTTTCCCAGAATTCAACCCACAACAACTGACTAACTCGCGGTACTTATACAGTATTACTGCTGGGTGAACAGCGGAATCAGGCGAAAGGAAACATGCTCAACCGTTTATGTCCTGCCTAGGGATCGAACTCGGGATTCTCGGTTGTGAACCGAGGATGTAGACGATTTAAGCGATTATATAAATTTTGCCATCTTAAAATTACATTTCATAACGGTTGATATCAGACTAGATTACAAGGTTTTATAATGGCCTGCGACTCTGTTTATTTTATGTAATGTGAATTTTGTAGCTGTGTTTAACGACATGCAATAAAGATGGCGACGGTAATGATATCCGATATTTTATATATAACAAATATTTTAATATTTAAAATAATATTTTAAAAATATCCGATATTTTATATATAACAATGTTATAAAAATCTAATTTCAAGCATGTCTGGGGCGGCAAGGTGAAGACTGTGTGAGGTTATCTTGAGATCTTGAGGTTATCTTGAGATCTTGAGGTTATCTTGAGATCTTGAGGTTATCTTGAGATCTTGAGGTTATCTTGAGATCTTGAGGTTATCTTGAGATCTTGAGGTTATCTTGAGATCTTGAGGTTATCTTGAGGTTATCTTGAGATCTTGAGGTTATCTTGAGATCTTGAGGTTATCTTGAGATCTTGAGGTTATCTTGAGATCTTGAGGTTATCTTGAGATCTTGAGGTTATCTTGAGATCTTGAGGTTATCTTGAGATGATTTCGGGGCTTTAGTGTCCCCGCGGCCCGGTCCTCGACCAGGCATCCACCCCCAGGAAGCAGCCAATGACAGCTGACTAACACCCAGGTACCTATTTTACTGCTAGGTAACAGGGGCATAGGGGTGAAAGAAACTCTGCCTATTGCTTCTCGCCGGTGCCTGGGATCGAACCCAGGACCACAGGATCACAATTCCAGCCTGCTGCCCGCTCGGCCGACCGGCTCCCCGAGTCAGAATTGAGTCAGAATTAAAAATACAGTTAGAGAATGCTAAGATTTTTGTCTGTATAACAAGTTAAACAACAATTTATGTACATGAAATTGTCTAGCGAGTTAGGACATGAGGGTATAGAGGCATACGGTAAGTTAGTGTGTGTTTACTAGTTGTGTTTACTAGTTGTGTTAACTAGTTTTACTAGTTGTGTTAACTAGTTTTCCTAGTTGTGTGACACACTATAGGTGATTAGCTTGAGGGTGTGGCACATTAGGGGTGAATATGTGTAACCACACCCTCCTCCCCCCCCATCCCTTCACCGGTTTAATTTCGTAAATAACCTCATTTTAGAAAGTGCTTCTGGTCTAACCACACCCAGGACAACTACACCCACGTCACTAACCACGCCCAGGACAACTACACCCACGTCACTAACCACGCCCAGGACAACTACACCCAGGACACTAACCACGCCCAGGACACTAACAACACCCACGACACTAACAACACCCACGACACTACACCCAGGGCAGGTAAAATGTATATGGCGTGTGCATGGAGTCGTTCCGACTAGTACCTCATCTTTAAGGTGGTGAGCGGGGAGGTAGGGGGAGGGGGGAGGGGGGAGGTGGGAGGGGAGGGGAGAGGGGGAGAGGTAGGGTGAGGGGAGAGGGAGAGAGGAAGGGTGAGGGGAGAGGGGGAGAGGTGGGGTGAGGGGAGAGGTGGGGTGAGGGGAGAGGGGGAGAGGTGGGGTGAGGGGAGAGGTGGGGTGAGGGGAGAGGGGGAGAGGTGGGGTGAGGGAAGTTGTGAGAAGAGGGGAGACGGGGCGAGGCTATCAATAAAGGTGGGGCTAAGATAACATGAGAGAGAGAGAGAGAGAGAGAGAGAGAGAGAGAGAGAGAGAGAGAGAGAATAAATGCACAATATACGATGGAGGAATGGAACAGTGACTATTCAAGCACAACACACACACACACCGACACCCACACACACAGCTGAGAGGTATGACTTACGAGGAAAGGCTATGGGAATTGAATTAATTAAACCTCACGTCCCTGGAAGACGGAAGAATTAGGGGGGAGACATGATCGCCACCTACAAAATTTCAGAGGAATTGACAGGGTATATAAAAAAATTTAGCATGGCTGGAACATGAACAAGGGGACACAGGTAGAAACTTAGTATTCAAATGAGCCAGAGACGTTAGAAATAATTTTGTCAGTGTCAGAGTAGTTAACGGATGGAATGCATTAGGCAGTGATGTGGTGGAGGCTGACTCCATACACAGTTTCAAATGTAGATATGATAGAGCCCAGTAGGCTCAGGAACCTATACACCAGTTGATTTGTGAATTGACAGTTGAGAGGCGGGACCAAAGAGCCGAAGCCAACCCAACAAGCATAATTACGTGAGTACACACACACGCACACGCGCACACACACACACACACACACACACACACACACACACACACACACACACACACACACACACACACACACACACACACACACACAAACACACAGACAGGTGATGTGATGTGTAAGTGGATACAAAAAAAGGCCTGAAAAAACGCCTGAAAAAAAAAGATAAACGCGAAAGCCGTTTACTTTCCCGTGCGTAAGAAGCTAAACAAGAAGCAGAGGGAGGGAGGGAAACGGGAAAAAATATATATAGGAAAAGGAAAATTCGACAAGAGAGACAATTATATGTAAGCGACGAAGACGGAGAGGACCAGCAGACAGGAGAGCACCAGCAGACAGGAGAGCACCAGCAGACAGGAGAGCACCAGCAGACAGGAGAGCACATAGGACCAGACACCACTCGCTAAGATGGTTACAACATCTAACTATGTACTGAGAAAGACAGGAGTCAACAGCAGTAAAGCCACGACTAAGGTTCATGTGTTGGGTATGTTGTGTATGAGAGCTGGTTCATGTGTTGGGTATGTTGTGTATGAGAGCTGGTTCATGTTGGGTATGTTGTGTATGAGAGCTGGTTCATGTTGGGTATGTTGTGTATGAGAGCTGGTTCATGTTGGGCATGTTGTGTATGAGAGCTGGTTCATGTTGTGTATAATAACACGGTTCATTTTATGCATGTTGTGTATGAGAACCGAATATACAAGACGACGGCTGAGAAGCAGGAAAGATTATTTTGGAAGACCAATATATAGGATATATAGACCAATATATAGGATATATTGGAGTCCCTACATGAGAGAAGAAAGCATTAATCATATCAACAAATTCAACACTGTTTTACATTTTTTTTAAATGTGTCATTAAGAGTCAAATTAAAGAGTGTGTCATTAAGAGTCAAATTAAGAGTGTGTCATTAAGAGTCTTGTCATCAAATTACTTGAGAGGACAAGAGGAACAGGAAAGAGTATAAGCATTAGCAGCACTACAAACAGGTGAAGCAGTGTCACCCAGATTACTGTGTTACCTTCTTGAAAGGTAACTCACTACAATATTATTATTATTATTATTATCTAAAGACGATGCCTAATACTAAGCAAAGCGAACTCTCTCTCTCTCTCTCTCTCTCTCTCTCTCTCTCTCTCTCTCTCTCTCTCTCTCTCTCTCTCTCTCTCTCTCTCTCTCTCTCTCTCTCTCTCTCTCTCTCTCTCTCTCTCTCTCTCCCTCCCTCCCTCTCTCTCCCTCCCCCCTCTCTCCCCCCCCCCCAACAAGTCCTACGCCACACACCTCCCCGAGTAACTCTGGCACCACAACTCACCGGTCGGGTACACACATCACCTGAGCAACGTTTCCTCAACCTGGCTTAATTACTCACACCAGTTTTATTACAAAACCGGTTTTGTTACGAACCCCGTTTTAGTACCATGTGGTTTTTAAATGTGTAGTATCTTGTATTTACCTAGTTGTTGTTTGTGGGGGTTGAGCTCTGGCTCTTTCGGCCCGCCTCTCAACTGTCAATCAATCAACTGGTTATTTTTTCCCACATACACTCTACTCTCTTTCCCACACACACTCTCTTACCCACACACTCTCAAGATCACACACACACACACACACACACACACACACACACACACACAGGGGGCCTCGTAGCCTGGTGGATAGCGCGCAGGATTCGTAATTCTGTGGCGCGGGTTCGATTCCCGCACGAGGCAGAAACAAATGGGCAAAGTTTCTTTCACCCTGAATGCCCCTGTTACCTAGCAGTAAATAGGTACCTGGGAGTTAGTCAGCTGTCACGGGCTGCTTCCTGGGTGTGTGTGTGTGTGTGTGTGGTGTGTGGAAAAAAAAAAGTAGTTAGTAAACAGTTGATTGACAGTTGAGAGGCGGGCCGAAAGAGCAAAGCTCAACCCCCGTAAAAACACAACTAGTAAACACACACACACACACACACACACATAGAGGAAACAGCCCGTAACAGCTGCTAACTCCCAGGTACTAATTTACTCCTAGGTAACAGGGGCATCAGGGGTCAAAGAAACTCTGCCCACTTGTTTCCGCCATCGCCGGGGACCGTTCCCCGGACCCTAGGATTACGAATACCGAGCGCTGTCTACTCGGCCACCAGGCCCCCCCTCTCCGGTGATCTACTCACACGTGTTGTACCCTCGTTCATCCTGAGGATAAAGTCCTGCCCTTGTTTGTACACCAGGAAACTGTTTTTAGTTTCCTCAGGGGTGCAAAATAAAGAAATTGAGTCTCCTCAATATCTTCATTATATGAAAAGTGGCAAAGTTTGAAGTGATGTGATACACTGTTGATGAAGCGTGACCAGTAGTGGAGATGGTGGCGGGTGTGTCATGTCCAAGTGTAGTGACCCACTACCATTCTCAAAAGTCGATTGACAATCGACTTGAGAATGGTCCAGGACGGACCGAAACGTCGTCGTCCCTTCAGTTTCTAGTGTGTGGATTGGTCAACACATACTTCAGCCACGTTATTGTGACTCGTGCCCAAGTGTGACTGTTAGTGATTGTTTGGTGGCAGTGGTTGTGTTTGGCGTTGGTTTAATAAGGCTTATCAAGCTCTGGAGTGTTATTTAAGGTCACCATAATAGCTTAGCGATTAACAAGCAAGTATAATAGTCCTGAAGGTAGCCCAGGGCTTCAGTATACTCTCAGTGTATAGCTGCGTGATGTAGCAAACCGTCTTATTACTAAGGATACATTATCTGAAATCCTTGTATCCCTGTTTCGCTCTAGGTACTCCTAGGGAAGAAACTCGTGGGGAAGAAACTCGTGGGGAAGAAACTCGTGGGGAAGGAACTCGTGGGGAAGGAACTCCTACAGTAGGTGGAAACACAGGACACCGCCAAGGAAGGCATCCTTAACACCCTCCCGTAAGGAAGGAACACTTTAACACGTGATGACCTCACGAAAGGATGAAAAGTAATGTACCTTTTTACGAGACCTTGAGAGCCACCGCTGTGAGGCCGAGCGAGAGAGAGAGAGAGAGAGAGAGAGAGAGAGAGAGTGGGGGGGGGGGGTAGTGCAAAATTGCGAATGAGAGTTTAGGCAGATTATGACGTCAGAACAGCTCTTGCCAGTAATTGTCGGAATTTCCCCTCTCCCTATATCACCCTTCAACACTGGGGTGGGTGCCCCCATACACAATGGGGTGGGTGCCCCCATACACAATGGAGTGGGTGCCCCCATACACAATGGAGTGGGTGCCCCCATACACAATGGGGTGGGTGCCCCCATACACAATGGGGTGGGTGCCCCCATACACAATGGGGTGGGTGCCCCGCAACACTCCCATCATTACTGTGACAACACCTGGTTGTGACGTCATCAGTACACCCATGAAGGCCAATCAATGTACAGAGTGAGGGGAGCATGGCATGGGTAGAGCTGCCTCTACACGTTGCTATGGTTACCACTCCACGCCCCCCCAGCCCCCCCCCCCCACATATTCCACCGCACCACCAACCTGTTCTCTTAAAAATAACGTCGCTTTGGGCCGTTTACCAGTATGGCCGAAAGTGATTTGAAAATGAAAAATAAAAGAAAATAAATTTGGGATTTTTTTTCAACAACAGTAAGTTAAGGGTCCTCTGGTAGGTTAGGTGGGCAGGAAATTCTCATAAAGTTTCAAAACGTTATGAAAAACGTTAATTGAATGTTGGCTCTTCTAATCTCACCGAGTAGGCCGGACCACTCAAACAGAACACGGGACATGTCGCTTTTGTGAGTCGGTTTCATTTCAAATTATGTCCACTTTTGGCTATAGCGCATACCAGCGGAAAGTGACGTTATTTTTACGAGGACGGGTTGCGTGCATAGTGCGCTTACCATACCATCAACTGTACCGTAGTGTGACCCCCAGGTACCGTAGTGTGACCCCCAGGTACCGTAGTGTGGACCCCCAGGTACCGTAGTGTGACCCCCAGGTACCTACCGTAGTGTGACCCCCAGGTACCTACCGTAGTGTGACCCCCAGGTACCTACCGTAGTGTGACCCCCAGGTACCTACCGTAGTGTGACCCCCCAGGTACCTACCGTAGTGAGGATGGAGGAGGCCAGCTCCAGGGGCACGCGACAGACGGTGTGGTCGTGCAGGGGTGTGGTCAGCGACAGCTCCACTAGGTTCTGTAGGGGGGGGGGAGGAGATGTAAAATTAAATTAATGAAAGGAGGTGACTACAACCATGACGCGCCTGGGGGTCACGGAACCTGGGGAGAGATTCACGAAGCAGTTACGCAAGTACTGACGAACATCTTTCACTCAATCTTCGACGGCTTTGGTTACATTTATGAAACAGTTTACAAGCATGAAAACTTCCCAATTAACTGTTGTTATTGTTATAAATAGCCTCCTGGTGCTGCGGAGCTCATTAACTGTTTAATAATTGTAAACTAAGCTGCCTAAGATTGAGAAAAGATGGACAGGTTCGTAAGTGCTTGCGTAACTGCTTCGTGAATGTGGCCCCTGGTCACAGCAACCACTACATCACGAAGTAACCCTCGTAGTCAAGACCACTGCCCTCAGTAACTTGTCACGCCCTCACAATATAATTTAAACAATAATACATTAAATATAAGAAGTCATTAAAAACATTCACATTTTTTACAAATTAATATTTAAATGTCAAAAGTGATTTCACATTGGTAAACACAACAGTTGTAACCGGAGTGATGTGTGGGGGGGTGATGTGTGGGGAGTAGTGATGTGTGGGGGTAGTGATGTGTGGGGGTAGTGATGTGTGGGGGTAGTGATGTGTGGGGGTAGTGATATGTGTGGGGGGAGTGATGTGTGGGGGTAGTGATGTGTGGGGGTAGTGATGTGTGGGGGTAGTGATGTGTGGGGGTAGTGATATGTGGGGGGAGTGATGTGGGGGTGTACAAATGTAAACCAAGCAGCTTGAGTAGTCTACAGTCTACACAAGAGACATAATACACAATATTATGTATAAATGTGACAAACAAAATAGGTGCCTAATAGTTATAAGCAAATGGTAACCCATGATCCTAAAAGTACTTATTTTGTCAAACGTAAAATATGTACTATTGGTCCCCAGAGGTTCACTTTTTTTACTATTAATTTTCTTAAGGGGACGAAAAGCTCAAACACCAAAGTTAAACATTCCTATATCTAGTATAGTACATATATGTACTATAGTATAGTACATATATGTACTATATTAGGCCTAAGATAGCGTACATAAGGCCGAGGATTGCTTGGAGAGGGGTTAGGTTATGTTACATTTTTTACTAATAAATTTAGGCTTCTTCAGTAATACAAATGTAAAATTTGCAACTTTTAATACTATCACAATACTCTGCTATACCATAATATCAGCGATTAATTAATTATTTAGAAGGTTGAGCTGTAATTATATGTACTTTAGGGAAAAGTTTTCCCTATAGTACAGGGAAAAGTTCTATGTCCCGGGGCTTAGGAGCCGAGTCTCGACCCAGCAGGAAGATGTAGTTACTGCCAGGATGAAGGACCCGCAGAATACCATGCTGGGGTTTTGTTTAATTGTATTATGCATTGTATAATTTATTATGATTAAGAGCAGTGTTAGGTTACTATGGTTACCTTATCTTGTATATGTTGAATAATGGGCTTGAAACTTTGTTAATTATACATGCTCAACCATTTTGCTAGTTCCAGGCTTGAATTTGTATGTGTAAACAGACCCTTCCTCCCCTCACCAGCAAACACACTACGTAACCACGACCTTGTTTTAACGTTATTATGACACGTATAACGTGACCACAACAGTTGCTGTTACGTAACATCGTCGTGGTTACGAAGTGTGTTAGCTGGGGGGGGGGTGTTTGTTGACACTTTCACCTGGGAGTCACAAAGTAGCGGTTTATATATAACGACCGCGGTTACGACATCGTAACGGCGTAACGGCTGTCAAAACAATGTTGACATGAACAAATCCACAAGGGCCGTGATGAGGGTTCGAACCTATGTCCTGGATGATCCTAGAAGCCCCTTAGTCGACTTAGGCGCGTTTGGGATCATCCTGGACGTAGGTTCGAATACTCATCACGGCCCTTGTAGATGTGTTCATTTGATGCATCACGCTATTGTGATTTTTGTGGGCAATGTTGACATGTTCACTTCTGAACAATGCAGTACTGTTCAACTTACTTTGAGTTCTTTGATGAGTACCTCGGGGCGTTGGGCCGTCCGCAGCACATTCCGGTACTTGTACACATGTTTCTGGAACGGAGAATGGAAAAGTGAAAAAAAAATGGAAACGCAAAAGAAGTCAAATAATTTCTTCGTGCAAAAATTAAGATTTTTTTTTAGAGCTGTAGACCACCCAAAAAATATTTTTTCTGAAGGTCATAACAAAAGAATGGGGTCTATGTCTCAATCTGCAAAATATTTTGTCTTTAACTGATTAAGGTTATCGCGCTGATTGTAGTTAGCGGATGGTTGAGGTGGTGGAGGGTTGGGTTGAAGTGGTGACAGGTGGAAGTGGATGGTGATGGGTAAAATTGTATCTACTTACTGGAAGGAAGCCTGGCTTATCAGCTCAGGTGTTGAATCCTGGCTTATCTACTTAGGCTGATAAGCCAGGCTTTCACACTTAAGCTGGTAAGCCAGGGATCAACGCCTAAGTGTTGAAGCCTGCCTTATCAGCTTAGGTGTTGAAGCCTAGCTTATCAGCCTAGGAAGCGATAAAGCCTGGCTTACCAGCTTATATGTTAGGTGATGTTGCTGGTGGCTTTGTTGATATTCCTCAGCTATAATTGTGGCTTGGTCTAAAATTATAAAACCCATTATGACACTCTCCTCCCCTACACACACACACACACACACATTAACCAGCTACAAGTAACTAACCTTCCATATAATAGAATGTAGCCACTGGTCTCTTGTGTAGGAATTATTCGCCTGAAAAGAAAGACGAAAGGTGTTAATGAGTGGCACAAATTAACATCTTAAATCAGAATATACGAGGTAATTATACCCCCTCCCCCCAAAAAAACCGGCCCGGATATTTGGGAAGGGAAAAAAGAGGAGGAACCAGGAAGACGGAAGAGCCGTAGCCTAACGGCCAGCAGGCAAGCTACGCTGCCCACGCCATTTTTTTTCCTAGCACCGGCGTCCTTAAAGCGTAAACAGCACTCCCTCGCTCGTCAAGTTATAAATACCTACCAGGTGATGATAATTGCACTGCCTCTCCACCGCTTACCACTCCCTGAAAGCACTTGAGATGATTTAAAAGCGTGTTACGTAAGATAATTCAGTATGGTTTTAGTTTGCCCGCGTTTTCTTGGGCAGGCGGGAAAAAACTGGCCTACCTTGGGTTAGTGTTGCCCACTGTGTGGAGGACGCCGCGCGGACTCACACTTGGCGCGTTCTCCGCAAAATCCTGTCAATGCTTATGTAGTAATGACTCTCCTAATTAAAATCTTTCATATATGCATACATTTCAAGAATTTTCAAATCAGCCTATAGATAAAACGAAAACTTTGCTTTAATTATACAGGTGCTTCCTCCACCCAACGCTCTGCCTTGTGTAGTGACCCGTGACCAGTGACCATTAACCCGTGACCATCAACCCGTGACCATCAACCCGTGACCAGCAACCCGTGACCAGCAACCCGTGACCAGCAACCCGTGACCAGCAACCCGTGACCAGCAGCACGTGACCAGGGCCGCCTTAACAGCATTGTAGGCCTTGGGCTTAGCAAGGCACTGAAGCCCCCCCTACCCTGGTTGGCCCTGGACCCCCTACCCACATGATGGGCACTTTGTGCCCTACCCAGATAATAGGCCTCGCCCGTCCGCCAAGGTGCAGGATTACCGTCAGAAAGTTATGCACAAATTATTATTATTATAAATATCATTTGAAAAGGGACATGAATCCTAGGCCTTACCAGCGGGAGGTCGAGTAATTACCGACAGCCAAGAGATCTCTCATGAACAATATAGCAGCATCGGATCCCTGGACAACTGCCCAGTGTGTCTATGCCTTAAGACCTGTGAACAATAACCCGTGACCAGTGTGTGACTCCTCCCTTTTCCCGCAGTTACCCATCCGGGTAGTGGGGACCCAGCAGTGTGGAGCAAGTCCCGCGCGCTTCCTCTATATGGGAGCCTTACCCCCTTCACTGAGCTCAATATAAATGCTCTCTCGGCTTTAACATTGAAGTGAAGGTTTAAGCGCCCTCTAGCGGCGGGGCTCGCACTTCAAAATATTACTGTTGAGTATTGAATTGTATTGAACACCACAGGGCTTACATGTACTCAAATTACCTACAAACATTGTTTTACATGTGAATAGCATTGGAATCCACGAGACACGTTGGTACAGCAACCCGTTCTCGCACTTTCTTACAGTCAATATTGACTTATTAAATAAGTGCATGTGTGACATACTAATTTATTGTGAATATTTTAGTTTACCTTATTGCTTCGTAATTACAATTATTACTTAACCTATACCTATAATAGGTTAAGTAATAATTGTAATTACGAAGCAATAAGATGCTTATCTTAACATACTAAGAAGGTTAGGTAAGGTCGGTGTTTTCTATGAAGCTTTTCAAGGTAAACTAAAATATTCACAATAAATTAGTATGTCACATATGCACGTATTTAATAAGTCAATATTGACTATACTAAAGTGCGAGAACGGGTTAGATACAGACCTATCTACAATTTTCATTTATTGCAATCAATGAAATATTTGATATGTAACGTAAAAAACAAATACTCAATAATAAAAATAGTGCACTGTCATAAACAGTTGACTCCTTGAAACAGTTGAAGGATGTAACAGTGAATATTAACACTGTTTTATAGCAGTGTCTGTTGTTGTCTTAGATTCAGCTACTGGAAACCAAAAGTTGCAAGTAGCACGGGCTATGGCGAGCCCGTAGTGGACTTACCTGGCACAGGAGCGGGGCAAGTAGCACGGGCTATGGCGAGCCCGTAGTGGACTTACCTGGCACAGGAGCTGGGCTGTAACTGAGTGTAGCAGCGATTGATTGATGAAGATAAAGCCACCCAAAAGGGGGCACGGGCATGAATAGCCCGGAAGTGGAGGCCCTTTGGAGCCATTACCAGTACCAATAGCTGGTAATTGGGCTCTGTGGATGGTGTAGCAGCGATTGATTGATGAAGATTAAGCCATCCAAGGGGAGGCACGGGCATGAATAGCCCGAAGCTATTCATGACCGTGGGTTCCCGTAGCACAATGTTGCTCGTCCTATGCTTATAACCAAGGATCCCAGGTCTGGTCCCCAGGCCGGCATGGTTAGCTGAAATGTTCGCAGGTTACCGTTAGGCAACTGTTGCGGGGTGTATTGGGGCGCAGGTAAGTCTACACGGGGTCTGGGGACAGGGGGACAGGGTCTGGGGACAGGGGGACAGGGTCTGGGACAGGGGGACAGGGTCTGGGGACAGGAGAACAGGGTCTGGGACAGGAGGACAGGGTCTGGGGGACAGGAAGACAAGGGTCTGGGGGACAGGAAGACAAGGGTCTGGGGGACAGGAAGACAAGGGTCTGGGGACAGGAGGACAGGGTCTGGGGGACAGGAAGACAAGGGTCTGGGGACAGGAGGACAGGGTTTGGGGGACAGGAAGACAAGGGTCTGGGGGACAGGAAGACAAGGGTCTGGGGGACAGGAGAACAGGGTCTGGGGACAGGAGGACAGGGTCTGGGGACAGGAAGACAGGGGTCTGGGGACAGGGGGTCCCCGACAACGAGGAAACCATACTGTGAGGGTCGGAGACATGATAGGACGAAGACGGCGCCCAATTAGGAGGCGGAAGACTAGCGGGAAGGTGGAGGAGACCTTTGGTGTGGTGGGCGGGAGGTCACCCACGACCCCCTCGACCCCCTTCTTGTGCCACAGTGGGCACCACCCCCTCTCACCCCCACGGCCGCTGTGGGCACCACCTCTCTCACGGGACACGACCAGCTGGTAGTCAGCTGGGACACGACCAGGCCGGGTGTTTACGGGCTTCCGGCAACATCCTTCAAGTTGGTGATGTGCATCTTAAGGTCTAAGTGCAATAAAGCGTAAACCCAGGTAGCAACAGGCATGCACGGTGTGAGCAAGGCTCTGGGGGTCAGGGGTCAAGGCTCTGGGGGTCAGGGGTCAAGGCTCTGGGGGCCAGGGGTCAAGGCTCTGGGGGTCTGGGGTCAAGGCTCTGGGGGTCAGGGGTCAAGGCTCTGGGGGTCAGGGGTCAAGGCTCTGGGGGTCAGGGGTCAAGGCTCTGGGGGTCAGGGGTCAAGGCTCTGGGGGTCAGGGGTCAAGGCTCTGGGGGTCAGGGGTCAAGGCTCTGGGGGTCTGGGGTCAAGGCTTTGGGGGTCAGGGGTCAAGGCTCTGGGGGTCAGGGGTCAAGGCTCTGGGGGTCTGGGGTCAAGGCTCTGGGGGTCAGGGGTCAAGGCTCTGGGGTTCGTGGGGGGGGGGCAGGGGGGGTCAGTGTTCTGGAGGTTAAGGGTGAGTGGAAAAAGTGCGTCACGTGACACACAATACAAACGATAGCGAGCCAATGAATAAGACAAGGCCACTGTCAGCCCTCCCAGGGCACCCTCCTGCCTCCCTCCCAGGGCACCCTCCCGCCTCCCTCCCAGGGCACCCTCCCGCCTCCCTCCCAGGGCACCCTCCTGCCTCCCTCCCAGGGCACCCTCCCGCCTCCCTCCCAGGGCACCCTCCTGCCTCCCTCCCAGGGCACCCTCCTGCCTCCCTCCCAGGGCACCCTCCCGCCTCCCTCCCAGGGCACCCTCCCGCCTCCCTCCCAGGGCACCCTCCTGCCTCCCTCCCAGGGCACCCTCCTGCCTCCCTCCCAGGGCACCCTCCTGCCTCCCTCCCAGGGCACCCTCCTGCCTCCCTCCCAGGGCACCCTCCTGCCTCCCTCCCAGGGCACCCTCCTGCCTCCCTCCCAGGGCACCCTCCTGCCTCCCTCCCAGGGCACCCTCCTGCCTCCCTCCCAGGGCACCCTCCTGCCTCCCTCCCAGGGCACCCTCCTGCCTCCCTCCCAGGGCACCCTCCTGCCTCCCTCCCAGGGCACCCTCCTGCCTCCCTCCCAGGGCACCCTCCTGCCTCCCTCCCAGGGCACCCTCCTGCCTCCCTCCCAGGGCACCCTCCTGCCTCCCTCCCAGGGCACCCTCCTGCCTCCCTCCCAGGGCACCCTCCTGCCTCCCTCCCAGGGCACCCTCCCGCCTCCCTCCCAGGGCACCCTCCCGCCTCCCTCCCAGGGCACCCTCCCGCCTCCCTCCCAGGGCACCCTCCCGCCTCCCTCCCAGGGCACCCTCCCGCCTCCCTCCCAGGGCACCCTCCTGCCTCCCTCCCAGGGCACCCTCCTGCCTCCCTCCCAGGGCACCCTCCTGCCTCCCTCCCAGGGCACCCTCCTGCCTCCCTCCCAGGGCACCCTCCTGCCTCCCTCCCAGGGCACCCTCCTGCCTCCCTCCCACTAGCGTCGATTATGTTAAGGGTGTTTTGTACCTTCTATATTTTTATTTATATATATATATATATATATATATATATATATATATATATATGTCGTACCTAGTAGCCAGAACTCACTTATATGCCTACTATGCAAGGCCCGATTTGCCTAATAAGCCAAGTTTTTATGAATTAATTGTTTTTCGACTACCTAACCTACCTAACCTAACCTAACCTAACGTTTTCGGCCACCTAACCTAACCTAACCTATAAAGATAGGTTAGGTTAGGTTAGGTAGGGTTGGTTAGGTTCGGTCATATATCTACTTTAATTTTAACTCCAATAAAAAAAAATTGACCTCATACATAATGAAATGGGTAACTTTATCATTTCATAAGAAAATATTTAGAGAAAATATATTAATCCAGGAAAATTTGGCTTATTAGGCAAATCGGGCCTTGCATAGTAGGCTGAGAAGTGCGTTCT